CAGCGGTGGCCCGGCAGCGTTCTGCAACCCACTTCCGGGGCCTCGGGCTGGGAGCACTTGCTGCTGCAAGGTGGCTGTGCTGGCTTCTGCTGCCCTTCTCTCTCAGGGCACTTTGAATACATTCCTTTCTGCTGAAATCCATCAACTTGTTTCTCCAAAAGTACAAGTTCACCCAGGCTTCTGTATGTTCCTCAGGTCTGTTTTTTTTTTTTTTAATGATATGCCTTTCCATCTAGTATCATCCCTAGTGGTAAACCATCTAAAAATCAGTATGCTAGTTTCTTCTCTCTTTTCTTTCTCACTTGAATTTTTTTTTTTTTCATCATGGAAATGTCCCCAACTTACACACAAGAGATGACTGCACTGACTTCCTGTAACCCATGTTACAATTCCAGCAGTTGATCATTTAAAAAAAAATTTTTAAATTGTTGATCGACCTTTATTTATTTATATGTGATGCCGAGAATCGAACCCTGTGCCTCGGACATGCCAGGCAGGTGCAGTTCCGCTGAGCCCCAGCCCTGTCTTTTATTTTTCAACTTTCTTTTCAGTGACTTTTTGGGAATAGAAAGAAAAGAGAGAGAGTGATTCAATGACAACTCCAAGACATCACATCATCTCACCCATAAATACTTCATCAAAATAGCGACATTTACTGAGCATCATTCACTGTGTGCAGTCCATATCCAAGCTCTCTCTTTTCCTCAGCTTGAGATTTTATAACTGGTTTACTCGAATGAGGCTCCACATACATTTCCACATAATGTACTTAAGGACTATGTCTCTCTTTTCCCCCCAATTTACCATTTATTGATACATAATTCACATACCCAATAGACCTCTTAAGTCTCCTTCAGCCTGTAGCAGTTCTTGCTTTTCCTTACTTCATGCTATTCATTTTTAAAAATTATCATTGTTATTCTTATTGCAGAATTTCTGGATGTCTTGTAGAATTTCCAGATCTCTGGTCAACTGACTGCATTGTTTGGTGCCAGTATCCTGTTCCTCTCACTCATTCTTTTCCTGTAAATTGGAGGTTATACCTAGGGGCTTGATTACATTAAATTTTCATGGTACTTAGGTTTCTCCCCTCTCCTTTTCTTTTTTCTTTTTGGAAGGTCTAGCTTAGTCACATCTCCAGGAATTCTTCCTCACCACCCACCCTCAGGGGCTAGTGTTGCTCTTCTCCTGGACACGAGCAGAGTTACCTGTCTTTGTGGTGCGTTGCATTATGCCTTTCCTGTTTCTTTTTCTTGGTGCATATTAATTATACAGAATGGTGGGTGTCACTGTGGACTATTGGTACATGCACATAAATAATGTGATCAACTTTGCTCCTTGGTAACTCCCCTTAACCTCCCTTCCTCTCTTTTCCTGAACCACTTACTCTACTCTAATGAGCTCTCATCTACTTGAAAGACACCCCAGCTTTCTTCCCTAGTTTCTACATGTAAGAAAATCACACAACACTTGTCTTTGAATCTAGTTTTCTTCACTTCATGTGATGCTCTCCAGTTCCACCCATTTTCCTGAAGATGACAGCATTTCATTCTTCTTGGTGGTTGAATAAACTCCATGGTGTGTGTGTGTGTGTGTGTGTGTGTGTGTGTACCTTTTTTCTTTATCCACTTACCTGTTTATTGGCACCTGGGCGGGATCCGTAACTTGTGCTGTGATAAACATGCCCTTTCCTATTTCTAAAAAGGCAGGAGCCCTGTCCCCAATGCAGACACCATACACATGTCATTGCCTAGCGTACACTGCCTGGCACAGGTAGGTGCTTTGTAGAGAATCCTGAGCTCCGTGGACGTGAGGGGACAACCATAGTCCAGCGATCAGCTGCTTAGCTCTGTTGCTCTCTGTGAGGCTTCTCACTGTGCCATCCGTCTCAGCTCCTCACTGTGAGCTCAGGAGGGCAGGGATGAAGGGAAGTTCATTTTTGTAGCTGGAGTGCGTAACACAAGGCCATACTCACACCTAGCACCTGTTCAAGGCACAGTGACCTGGAGTCCCTTGCTCATCCGTCCCTGCAGAGTTGCTAGGAGCGCCAAGAGGAGGTTACATGATAAGTGTACATGAAATGTTAAAGATGTAATATTAATAATGATAACTGTAGTTCATTCCTCTCACACCTAACAATCACAGCCCTCGGTTAGAGTGTACAGAACTCTTGATGCATTACCTGTTTCTAGAAGGGGTATCTGCTCTCAGTTTTTAACTCAGAGAAATCACAGAGAATGTCCATCAAGTAGCCAACTTTTGTTATGGGATCAAGGTCTGGCAGCCTGTCGGATGTTATCCACCTACAGGAGCAATGGCTTCTTAGGGTGATGATACAGGGGCTGGGGTCACATGCCTACTCCCATGGGAGGCACATGGCTCTGTAAGGCACAATCCTGGGAGGTTTTCCTGAACAAGAACCGGATGAGACTGATGAAGAGGATCAGGGGAAAATAGCTCTCCATGTGAATCTCAAAGCAACCTCAGCTCAGGGCTCTGTGCCCTCAGGTCTCTCTGGAAGCTGCACTTGGCTGGAGGCAAGCTTGGGAGTGCTGGCTTTCCTGACGGGTCCCCCCACCCCCCACAGTTGAGGCTGATCCCTATGTCTGGCAGGTGACTGGTGTAATGCATAGCATAATGAAGTGTTTCATTGCAGTTTGAAAACGTTATCATCCTCGGTTCTAGCATGGGGTCTGTGACAGTCTTCAAAAGGTCAAAGGACCAGCATTTTGCTTCAGTTTGTGTTTTCTAAGAAGAGGGTCTGTAGCTTTTCTTGCATTAAAGAGCTTCTGGTCTGAGCCAAGAAACTAAGAAGACTCCAGTGTTCCTCCTCCACCTAACGCTGGACAACAGTTTGTTATTGTGCAAGAAGTTTAGTGTCTCTGGCCCACACTCCTTAAATGTCTGTAATAGCTCAGTTTTAGTCAGATTTTTTTATAGCTGTGACCAAAAGACCCGACAAGAATAATTTAGAGGATAAGAGTTTATTTGTGGTTCATGGTTTCAGAGGTCTCTGTGTATAGACGGGCAACTGCATTGCTCTGGGCCTGAGGCGGAGCAGATCATCATGGCGGCAGGAAGTGGAGGAGGAAAGCAGCGCAGGACCAGGCAATCAGGAAGCAGAGAGAGCTCTGCTCACCAGGGACAGAATATAAACCTGCAGCTACACCCCGGTCATTCACCTCCTTCAGCCATACCCCACCTGCCTGCATCACCACCCAGTTAATCCCTATGAGTAGATTAATGCACAGATCAGGCTCTCATAATCCAATCATTTCACCTCTGAACCTTCTTGGATTGTTTCAGACCTGAGCTTTTGGGAGGTCACCTCACATCTAAACCATAACAAGCTCCAAGTTATGCAGATCAATCCTCCCCCCAAACACCTAGATGGCCGGCAAGCAGAAGAGTTGAGGAGGCAAGACCGCTCACTCCCTTCGGCTCTCCTCTTCCTCTGGAGGGAAGCAACCCTTCTTTACTTCTGACATCTGATTTCCAGTTGTTTCTCTGTCAAGGAATAGCCTGCTGCCCTTAGGGGGGCTTCTGATATTCTGTTGTAGGGTTGCCATAGTGCTGTTAGAGTAAGGGACCTATAGGGAATGTTTAGAGGACTACATTTTATTATGGGATTTTGGCAATTGCTGTTACAACAGAGCGAGTCTCCTGTACTTTTCCCATTCTTACAGAGAGCCTCAGCTCTACAATCAACCCATCCCTTGGGAGACATTTTTCTGGTGTGAAATTAAAATGCTTTATTGAGAGTCAAAACCGGCATCTCCTAGGATATCATCTTCTTAGAGTTTTCTCCAAGGCTAGCCATTTCGTTTATTACTTCTGGAAGGACTAACACAGAGATGTTAGTGGGAAAAGAATATCTTCGAGATCAAATTAAAAAACAAAAAGAGGATAGCCATTGAGAAGATTTTTTTTATTATTATTATTATAAATCACTCTCACGTCTGACCTTGCAGCACCTTCTAAAACAGACTTCCCAATCTCCTCTTCGGTAGATGAGGACTCCGGGTCTTCTAGGAATCAACTGGCGTCCCTGAGGGGCAGGGCACTTAGAAGGACCGCTGATGTCAACTCGGAGCCTTTTCTACCTCCAGACGCTACCCTCTAGCTCTGTCCCGCCGCCCAGAAGGCTCTGACTCAGACATTTTTTACAAAAGGAAGACATTTCCTGGAACTAGTCGGAGGGCGAGGCTGGAAGTACCAATGAGCTGAAGCCGAGTCTTTTATTCTACTACCTGAGCGCTGGGAAGCTCAGAAGGGGCATGACAGCCTCCTTCCAACTCCCAGCCGACTGAGAAATTGAAAGCAGACGCTAATGACGTCGTTTTGTAACTTCGTGCCTTTTAAAATCGACGGGCTCTTTAAAGTGCTGCTTTAGATTAGAGGTGGCTGTTGGATAAGGCGGGGAAAGAGCCGCTCTGCTGAATGTTATTATAAAAGCCCACACTGGGTTGGTTCCAGAAAAGCGACGCGCAGGAACAACTTTTCCAACTGTGTTTTCATTACGCAGTGAAGAAAGTTCTGACACTAAGCTCCAATCCGAGGACAAGCTGACAATGTCGCAGCATCCCAGAGACGCGCGAGGACTGCTAGGAAGTCCTTTAAGTTGAAGACAGACGTGCATGCGGAAAGTTTCCAGGACCCAAACCCTTCGCTATTTTATTTTTAAGACGAGGTCCCGGCGCGCCCTAGCAGCTGTCCACCCAGGAGGAGGGGCGACGGCGAGGGCGAAGGCGCAGGCCGAGTTCGCTCTTATTAATATTAAACAGCCGGGTCTACCCTTGAAGCAAGTGGGGAGAGGAGGCGAGCGCTCCTGACATTGACAGTGAGTCCAAACAGGAGTTGCGCTGGCGGTGCCCACCACGTGGCCTCCCGCCGGGCCTTCTGGGAGCTGTAGTTTTCCGGGGAGCCGCGGCCGGGGCGATCTGGGGTGCCCCGTGCCGGCGGACTACAGGTCCCAGGCTCCCGGGCCGGGAGCGCGGACTCGGCCGGGCGGGCTGCGCGGCGCTGCGCGGGGCGCGCGGCGGGACCCGGCCACCACCTCCCTGGGCGCCCCGCTTTGCCCTCGATCGGAGCGGCGCGGGGCCGCGAAGCCGGAGCCATGCAGTCGGAATCGGGGATCGTGCCGGATTTCGAAGTCGGGGAGGAGTTTCACGAAGAGCCCAAAACCTACTACGAACTCAAAAGTCAGCCCCTGAAGAGCAGGTGAGGGTGACAGCTGGACGGGGCGCGGTGGCGGCCGGGGCCGCGCCTCCACCCGGGGCGAGGAGGGCTGGCTCCCGCGTTTGGGACAAGGACCCCGTGCCCTTGCGCGGTCTGCCCCGCGGGCTGCGGGCGCTGCGGGCGGCGCACATTCGGAGTGGGAGGGAGCGCCCGGGGCCTGGCCGCTGTCGGGGCGCGGGGACCCTGCTTGGAGGTGCGCGGCGGGGACTGGTGGGGGCTGGGGAGCGCCCGGCGCCGGGTGGGGGAGGAGCGCCTGCGGGATCGCTGACCAGGTGCGATGGGGGACAGTTTTGACTGCGCCACTTTTCTCAAGATCCCAATGGGATCGGAGAGGGAAAGCTGGGGTGGCCCGTGAGCGACGTTCCACGGAGGCCATCAGCTCGCCTGCAGCCTCCTCTTAGAAGTCCTGCCCCTTTGGGAACACCGGCCTCTGGCGGACTCCAGGTGCGGTCCCCGCCCGCCGCTCACCTGCTGTCGCTGCACGCGCGGGCGGGAGGGGCGGGGCGTGTCCCCTGGCCAGGTGCAGCTGGGGCCGGGTCCGCCGACCGGGTCTCCTGGGGCGGGGGCGGGCAGCTGCGCGGTGGGGGGCGTTTACGCGAGTGGGTTCCACACTGGCCGCGGCAAGTGGTTTTTTGGCTGAGGACTTCCGAAACTTCGGGAGAGGCGCGCAGCCGCTCCCCATCCGGCCCACCCCCCAGCGCCCACCCCTGGCTGCCTCCATCCCCACTAGTCTGGCGGAGTTGGCGGGGCTTCTTCCGTTCTCTCCCTACTGTGGACACTCGGGAGGCCTCTCGCTTCTCGTTTCGAGTGTTCCCTAAGAGCTGGTGATCACTTGAGGCTGTGACAGCGGATGGTTTATTTCTAGTCCTCTCCGTTGTGGGATAGATAAGGCTGTGACTGCGAGCCATCAGGTCGCAGTACAGCGCCCTCTGAGTCTGCCCTGCCCCTGAGGATGACTGGGGCCTGGGTGAGGGGGCCCAGATGACAGGGGCAATGAAGGGCAGTGGAGTCAGCATGAGGTGGACCAAGGCTGCTTATGGAGAGAGCCTCATGGAGAGGGGAGCCAGGTGCCATTCCTTCAGGGGGTGGCAGGACAGTCCACTTAGGGGAAGGGGATCTGGGAGGACGGGCAGCTGCCCTTGCAGAGACAGCCTGCTTGCAGATGCTTAATGAAAATTGGAAGGAGGTCTCCTGTGCAGTTAGAGGCATGAAGCAGCCTTCAGTTGGTGGATTCTCTGCATAATGGCTATTTTGTGTGGGAGCTTAGATTGTGTGTGTTGGGGGCTGGGGGCTTTGCATAATATTGTGTAAGGGGTATTGTTGGTCATTCTCATTGGGGCTTTATCTGCATTCGCTGAAGGGACCAGTGTTTTACTGAGCGGTCATGCTTGCATGGCCAGAATGAGGGAGCGGGCGTGTGTGAGTCCTGAAAGACAGGAATTGGCCGGACTGTTGGGAACATTTTTGATGGTAGCTGATACATAACATTAAATGAGTTCGAGGGAGTGAGGAAAATACCATCTGGAAAAACCCAGATGAGTGCCCGGAATGCTCCCCTTTAAGAATTTGGGCCTGTTCTTTCTTAGAGTCAGCAAAAATTCCTTGCCAGGGTGCACATTCTTGGTAGCTGGCTACCCTGCACGCGTGAGGAGAGGTGTGGGGACTTGGGAAGTAGCGGGTTCGCACATCACTGATGGAAACAGGTGTGGGACACAACGGTATGGAGAAGGAGGACTAAATTAAAAAGGTTGTTGGAAAACTTATCTGGGGAGCAGACACATGCTTCTAAATAAGCCGGTTAAATAAAATCTGTGAATAAATGCGCAGAGTTGGCCGCCTTTCCCGGCACCGTCTCCGCATCTGTTGCGCGACTGGAACACCTACGCGTTCCGATGGGCCCTGCCTTGCTCTTTGCCTTACCTCTTTGCTAGGGCACCTGGCTGCTGCTGTGTCCTGGCTGGACAAGCTACAGTTCGAGGGTTAAGACTGCTGTGGCTGGATCACCTGCCCATCGTGTTCTCCAGATGGTCCCTTGGAGTTGACGATCAGTCTAGAATCTGTCCAACAGGTGGACCCTCGGCCACCAGCCCCTGCCTGGGTCACTGCAGAGGTCTGGCAGGTCACCTGTCTTCTGTGTTACACTTTCAGTGATTTTTTTTTTTTTTTTAGCAGTCACAATGTCACTGTTAAAACCAATTTTCAACCAGGGATGAGTCTAACCCCTACCTCCAGGGAGCAGTTGTTGGCCTCTGGAGACATCTGGGATGGTCACAGTGGAAGGGGGTTGTTATTGGCCTTTAGCAGGCAGGGATGGCACTGCTGTTATCCATTCTGTGAGCACAGGACGGCCCTCCCACAAGGACATACCATCTGGCCCCCAAATGTTGATAAAACTGAGGTGGAGAAATCCTGGGTCCAAACTCAAGTCTGACCTTGTCATTCTCTGCTCAAAACTTGCCACCATGGTTCCTAGATTTTTCTCAGTAAAGTCAAAGTCTTTAAAATTCCATAGGGTGGCCTACATGGTCAGGCTGCCTGTCCACCCTGACCTTCTGTCTTGCTGCTCTCTTGGGGCTCCTCATCTTCCACCATTCTGGCCTTCAGGCTCTTCCTGGGGCACTCCAGGGCCTTCCTGTATCACGCTTGCCTTTGCCTGGACGGTCTTTGTCCAAGCCTCACTCCCCCCAGCCTCAGACACCCCCACGTTCCCATCACACCGAGGGTGTGGCCTTCTGGGCCCACAGAGCTCACAATGCCATCCCTCTCAACTCAGTCTCCCCGCCCTCTGTTTTTTCCGTCTATTTGTAACCTACTGTATAATTTTCCAATAAGTAATGTTTATTATTTGTCTCCACGCTAGACCGCAAGCTTCAAGGAGCAGGATTTCTCTCTTCCTGTCTGATTGTTGGGTTTTCTCAGGGCCCAGAATGATTTCAAGGGCTCAGTGCTCTTGATATTTTGGGCCCAATCACTCTTTTGTGGTGAGGGCTGTCCTGTGGACTGCTTGGCGCTCAGTGACATCTTTGGCTTCCTCCTTTTGGAGGCCAGCAGTGCCTCCTCCGCCAGATGTGACAACCAAAAATGACTGCAGAGTGGCCTATGGTGGGCAAAGTCACCTCCACTTTAGAACTGCTGATATAGGATAATACCTGGCAATGAATATTGTTGAGTGTACATGGCCTTCCTTGGTATCCCCCTTGGGGCAAGGTATTTGGTTTCTGTTTTTGCATTCAACAGGGTGTTCTTTTTTAAAAAAAGATGCCACCAAAGCATGCTCCAAAGAGGAACTATGTGTTCTTCACTGAGGCTAAGTGAAGACATTCTCATCTATCAAGAGGAGAGACACAGATCATTCCTAATTCAGACCTCTTTGAATTTAGAAATGAGAGGTTGTTGGGTTTAGGTTCTCAGAACCCCCTTTGGGTCACGTGGATTGGCGGTGCTGAGCTGGAGGGAGACGCTTACTCTGAGGAAGGTTCTAGAGAAGAATCTTTTGCACTTTGGTTCCTCTCACAAGGCAGAGGAGAAATGTCAGAGTGAACCCAGAATTCCCACACTGGCCTAGTCATGCCAGAGACACAACCATGGGGCCATGGTTGAGCTCCCACAAGCAAGAGAACTCTGGGTCTTTGGATGTGCAGCCTCATCTCCGGGCCCTTCCACTTGATTTTCCTGGTGCAGAGGTCTGTGGCTTTGTAATGGCTAATGCCCTCTTCCTGGGCAGGCTTCAGAATTGGCTTAGTCAAATTCCAGCTTCTTCTTGAGTTGGTAGTACTGTTTTAAACAGCTGTTAATGACCTTCCTGCAAATTATAAGTGGAAAGCAAGTGAGTGTTGGGTTGGTGCTGCCAGGACAGGGTACAGCAGTGGTCCCCAGGTGCTGATTCACGGAGTGGTAGGTGCTGTTTGCATGAGGGACAGGTCACAGACGTATTTGGGCAGAAGGCCACTACCCTTCATTGGGTTCATGCTGAGGTTTCCCTTTCTGTGTTCACATTGAAAAGGCCCTTTTATGAAATAATGATCCAGTCTTGGAAAAACACAACTTCACTTTCAGTCTTTTATTGGTTGCTGAAAGTTTTCTTGATTTTTTTTTTTTTCTGGTCTGCCCATCTGCAGGGAACTGTCATCAGGGAGATCAGAAGCTGAGTTCCGGCTGTCTCTGCCTGTCCAGTCAGGCAGGGGGGTGACCTTTAATCTCAGCATCCTCATCTGGCAAATGGGGGTCTGCTTCTTCAGCGATCTCAAGAGCAATACTATGACTTTCACAATTTGGGGAAATTATTACCTACCCAGGTGCCCGGCACATAGTCAGTGCTCAGAAAACATTAGCAGATGTGTTTTTTTTTTTTTTTAATTACTTAGTGAGCTCCAACATTTTGGACTGTGTTTGTATTTGGTTGACTGTGGCTAGCTTCTCTAAGGCCAGTGTGGTTATGCAATAAAATCCCCTCAATCTCAGCAAATTTATGTTTTTGCTTTCCTTCTAATGAAGTTTTCAGATAATTTTTTTTCACATTTTATAATTTTGACCCAGTCCATAACAATTCCTTTATGCTGGTTAAAAAGAAAAAAGAAAACCTGACAATTATGATATGAACACACAATTCATATTCAGCACATAACTTTTCGAGTCCTAGCTCATGGAAATTAATACAAATAATGATGACTAACATTTATTTAGTAGGCTTTGTGTGCCAGGCCCTGTTCTGTTTTTAATTACATAAAACATATTAGTGTTTGCAAAACTTGCATGAGGTACTAATAGGAAACAAAAACAAGGGTACTAATTTTAATTTTAGAAGTGGGTAACACTTACCTGGCACTTACCACGCGCTGGGCGATATTCTGAATATTTGACTTGTTTAAATATTGTTCAGTTAATTCTCACTTTTGGGCATGTCTTCTGATCATCCCTATTAAGCTCACTGAGAGAGGAACCGAGGTTCCAAGTTCTTGGACCAGGGTGGAACCGAGACGCAC